TTTTGGTTGTAGATGTCCAGTGCTTCATTTATCTTGTCTGAAACTCCTGTCTTGACCTCATGCCTGCTTTCCGGATTTGCCTCTTTGCCTGCCTACGACATCCTCATATTTTCAAAGGACTTGCACACCCACAAGAAACATGTAAGGGCAGTATTATTAAGACTTCTACAGAACAACCTTTTTGTTAAGGCTGAGAAGTGTGATTTTCACCAAACCTCCACTTCATTCCTAGGATTTAACATTTCACCCAATCAGGTTTCTATGGACCATGCCAAAGTCTCTGCAGTGCTTGACTGGCCTACCCCAAAGGACAGAAAACAGTTGCAGAGGTTTCTAGGTTTTGCAAACTTTTATCGCAAATTTATCAGAAACTACAGTCAGATCTCTGCTCCCTTGCAATCACTCACCTCAGTTAAGAACAAGTTCTTGTGGAACAAACAGGCCGAGACCGTGTTCTGCAAACTGACGAGCATGTTTGCCTCCACTCCTATCCTTTGTTCTCCTGACACTAATCGGTAGTTCATCGTGGAGGTGGATGCCTCCAAAACAGGGGTAGGTGCTGTTCTCAGCCAGCGTCTTGATAATGGAAAGATTCACCCATGTGTATTTTTCTCCTATCAGCAGCAGAACATAATTATGATGTTGGGGAACGTGAACTGTTGGCCGTCAAACTGGCTCTGGAGGAGTGGAGGCACTGGCTGGAGGGGGCCAATGAACCCTTTAAAGTCTGGACTGCCCACAAGAACCTAGAGTACTTAAAGACTACCAAAAGATTGAACCCCAGACAAGCAAGGTGGGCCCCGTTTTTCTGCCGTTTTGATTTTGTACTTTCTTACAGACCTGGAGCCAAGAACACAAAACCTGATGCCCTGTCCAGGGTTCAGAACAGAGCAAACGAGAGTCAGACCAGCAAGGAGGTGGACTTCATTCTGCCCGAGATGGTCCGGCTGTCAATCACACAGCTGGAGGAGGAGATCAGACTGGCCCATCAGACCCAACCACCACCCGCTGACTGTCATAAGGGCCGTGTGTTCGTCCCCGAAGCCCACGTCAAAAAGGTATTGGAATTCTGCCATCAATCTCAACTTTTTTGTCACCCAGGTATCAGTAAGACCTTGGCACTGGTGAGGGTTCAGTTCTGGTGGAGAGACTGGGTTGAGGATGTCAAGGAGTTTGTCTCATCGTGTTGTCAGTGTGCTCAGGCCAAGACATCGCGTCGACCACCTGCAGGCCTCCTACGACCGCTTCCCATACCTTCACGCCCCTGGTCCCACATCTCCGTGGATTTCATCACTGGACTACCCTCATCTTCCGGTAATACTGTAATACTCACAATCATTGACCGTTTTTCAAAAAATGGTTCATTTAGTTCCACTCAAGAAGCTCCCATCCGCTAAAGAGTTGGGGGAAGTCCTGGTCCGTGAGGTTTATCGCCTTCATGGTCTGCCAACGAACATTGTCTCGGACCGAGG